GGTGGATGGTGGATGGTGGATGGTGGATGCTGGGTAGGTGGATGGTGGATGGTGGATGGTGGGTAGGTGGATGGGTAGGTGAATGATGGATGGTGGATAAGTGGATGATGGGTAGATGGGTGGATGAATGAGTGGAGAGATGTATTCGTTCTTGTCCACTTGCTCCTCTGGGGACAGAGTGGAAGGTTAGAAGCATCCTGAGGAGTCACGTACTTGAGTTGCCAATTCCCAAATCTATGCTTGACCCTGGCACTGCTCCTTGCTCATCTTCACAGCTGGGGAGGAAGATTGAAACCATTGTGATGATATTTGACTGTGAAGGTCTGGGACTGAAGCACTTCTGGAAACCTCTGGTGGAAGTATACCAGGAGGTGAGGAGGCAGCCCAGGGGTGGACACACACACACACACACTTGGGTGACCAGCTTGGCCTGCTTTGCCCTTACAGTTCACTTAAAGTACAAATTAATAAAAGATGGTTTCCTTTCAAGCCCTATCCTGAAAAGAAACCTTAATAGGACTCCTGGGAAGTGCACAGAGCGGATCTCAGGAGAGCACAGGGCCTGTTTCCACAAACAGTTTCAGCCCTGTCACTCCCTTGCTCTGAGCCCTGGGCAAGTTATCTCTGTCTACCATCCCTACCCCGCACCCATGCCGCCATGCTTCAGCTTCCTCCCCTCCAGCTTGGGGACATTTAGACCCAGGAGTGAGTCTGTAAAGCGTGTGCACAGTGCTGGGCAGATTCTGAATGCCTGGCACACTGCAGTCTCCATGATCATCATCTGTTGTTAGAGTGACTGTGTGGTTACTATGGGCGTTTGGTTCTAGCCATCTGAGGTGGGATGCTCCCCTTCAGAGGTCAGTGGAGGTGATACCTAAAAGGGTATTTCCTCTAAAACCTCCAGACAGGATGTGGCAAAGGAAGGGGGGAGAAGGTGTGGGCTCTGAGGGGCTTTCTTGGTTCCACAGTTCTTTGGCCTCCTTGAAGAGAATTACCCAGAGACCCTGAAGTTTATGCTTATTGTGAAAGGTAAGTGAAATGTGACTCCCTTACTGGGACCTCCATACCCCTATCTTTCACCCTTAGGGTCTTGATGCCTCTTCTTGGGGCAAACCAGTTAGTGGCTGGCACAGAGGAAGGGCTCAGGAGTGGGCAGCTCCAAACTCAGCCCCGCTAGAAATGCCTCTTTCCTTCCCTATGATCATCTTTCCATCTTTGGGCTGTCTGTGGTCCTAAGTTGTCCAGGCTGGCCTTGAACTCACTCCATAGCCTACATAGGCTTGGCACTTGCAATGTTCCTGCCTCAGCCTTCAGCGTCTATGGGATTACAGACCTACACTCCTGTTTATTCTTTTTCTTTCTTTTTTATTTTTGGGGGTGTTCTTTTGTTTTTGTTTGTTGTTTTTTTTTTTGTTGTTGTTGAGACAAGGTCTTACTATGTAGCTCTGGCTGTCCTAAAACTCACTATATAGACCAGGCTGGCCTCAAAACTCACAGAGACCCACCTCCCTACTTCTCCCAAGTGCTGGGTCTGAAGGCATGCACCACCATGCCTAGCTCATCCTGTTTTTCTGAGCAAGTTATCTGCTCCATGAAGGGCTCTGAGCCTATGCCTGTGGTTCATGTTCCTGGCCTGGCACCATTCTGGGGGCTCAGTAGCCATTCAGGTGGCTGTTGCTCAGATAGATAGGTTGGTAGAAAGATGGCTTGTTTGATAGTTGGTTAACTCATTGCTTGGTTGGCTATGCAGCTGATTGGCTGTCTGGTTGCCTGAGTAGCTAAGTAACTGAGGATGGGTTGAAAAGTTGACTGGGATCACTGGCTTTTAGCTTGGTTGGTTGTCTGGTTAGCATTTTGGTGACTGGATGTTTGGGTGGTTGCCTAGCATGTTGGCTGGCTGGCTGGCTGGCTGGCTGGCTGGTTTGTTCTGCAGCTGAATTTGTATGGTCAGCTGGTTATTTGGAGACTGACTCTTTGTGTGAATGGTTGGTAGCTGGAGAGAGCAATTGTTTAGCTGTCTAGCTGCTTGGCTGGTGGCTGATTAATTTTCTCTTTAGCCAACTTGTTAAGTTTGGTGAATTGGTAAAATTATTTGTTAGCAGGCCGCCTGAGTTATTGGCACTTGGGTGGCTGTTGGTAGACTGGTTGGCTTATTCGTTGGCTGATGAGGAGGCTGATGACTGGCTCACTTGTGCAGTGGGTAGGCAGCTGATGGATGGATGGTTAGTTGGCTATTTCTTGGGTGATTGGGTCTGAGCTGACTGGGTCCATCATGACTTCTGTATCACTGGCTGTCTGTTGTGGAAAGGTAGCCCAGTGGCTTGATCTCTCCCTGTTGATCTTCTGTGTCTTTCCAGCCACCAAACTGTTCCCTGTGGGCTACAACCTCATGAAGCCATTCCTGAGTGAGGACACACGGAGGAAGATCATAGTGTTGGGAAGCAGTAAGTCCTTCCAGTGCCCTGCCCCCATGCTTCACACCTAGGCTGTATAGTGACTGCTGGTCCATCCCCAGGCTTCACACCTAGGCTGTAGAGTA